GAAATCCCAATCACATCAGATCCTCCTGGACCCTTCCTCTTTGCGCCACCAAGCAGATCCCTGTGTGCTCCCCCAACCTTGTTTGTCCCTGACTTGTTTCCTTTTGCTGGGAAGCAGGGGCTCCTTCTGTCATTCCTGGTCTCTCTTCCTTCTTTCTAACTTGACATGTTAAGAACAAGCTTTACTGAGATATAATTAACATACCATACAATTCACCCATTCAAAGTATACAATTCAGTGGTTTTTAATATGTTCAGAGAAGTGCAACTATCATCACCAATAATTTTATAATATTTCATCACCCCAAAGGGAAACCCCATATCCTTTAGCTACCATCCACTATCTCGTCCCTCTCCCCAGTACCCCCTGCCCTGCAACCACTACTCTACTTTCTGTCTCTATGGATTTGTCTATTTTGGACATTTCATATAAATGGAATCATGCAATACATGGTCTTTGGTGACTGGCTCCTTTCAAGGTTCATCAATGTCATAGCATCTATTAATACCCCACTCCTTATATGGCTGAATAATATTCCGTTGTGTGATAGTAACACATTATGTTTACCCATTCATCAGCGGAAGGATTTAGACGAACTTTTCTAGGGAAATCTTTCCTGATTTACTTCTACCTCTTGTTCCTCTCCACCACACCTTCTCTCGGCCCCCACGCATTCTGTAAGTGGGGATTCCTTAGTCCTACAGCCTCTGAGGTCTTTGGAAGGAGCAGGCAGCCTTAGGTTTGCAACCCAGATGAGCCCATTACTGACTGAGTGATTTGCCCTCTTCTAGGCCTTATTTCCTCATCTATAAAATGAAGACAAAGGTATTTCCTTCTAGGATTGTGGGAAGTGCTGATCCAAGTGCAGCATTTGGCCTGGCATACAGAAGGCACTCAAACAGTGTTGAATCCCTTTCATCTGTCAACCTTGAGCCCCAGCTAAGTCTATGCAGGCAGAAACCATACTTCCGCCCTTGATATTCCCCCATCAGTGTCTGAGTACAATGTTCTTGGATGAGAGTCAGACCAAGGGGAGAATAAATAGGAAGAAAAGAAAAAGCAGATATAAGGAAATAACAGAGGAATTGATAAAAAATTATACAAATGTGATAGATAAAGGGAGTGCTGGGAAGGTATGTTTTAGTGTTGAGAATCGTTAGGCAGGAGGAACATGGGTTTGAAGATGTGTTTCTGGCCTGACCCTGATATGTCCAAGTTATTTACCTCTGAGTCATTGGGCCTGAGTCCCCTCAGTTTCTCCCTCTTTAAAATGGGGCATGACCCATGCCATAGCTGCCCACTGATGGGGGGATAGTACAAGCTCATGTGCACTTGGCTGTACAAACTATTTACTGAGGGACCCTGAGGGCCAGATGGTGACCCTACCTAACCAAGGCAGGCCCTCGCTGAGGCTCCTCAATGACCTGACATGTTGTCCCCTCTGTGGGGTAGTAGCCTGGAGCTGCCTTGAGTTGGAACCCACCCTTCTTAGGGGCCTAGAGGCTTCTAGGTCTCAGGGGGATCTGACAATTTTCACTCACTCATTGATTCATTCATTCATCAAATTCTACTTCTTGCATATTTCTGTTTATGGTTTCCGGTGCTTGCTATTTGGCCTCCTTGAATATATAGGAATTTCTTTTTTTGCCCCCAAACAGCAAAATGGCAATGACCGCAGGAGATTCTCAAGGAATATTTGATGGATAAATAAAAACACGAATGGATAACTACATGTAATGACACAGGTATGTCCAGGGTGCTGTTGGAATCTTTTAAGCAGGGCTTCCCAGAGTGACATTTGCACCGGGTCTTGGAGTTAGAGTTTGCCAGGCATATGTATTCTCAGCATAGGGAACAGCATCTACAAGAGTATATAAAGCCCTGAACGATGGGAGCTTCCTAGTGGCTCAGTGGGTGAGGGGAGGTGACGGTGGAATGGAATGAGGGGTGGGAAATGGAAGGGACAGATGCAAGGAAGGGGTGGGGCAGTCCAAGAAATTGAGCAATAGAAATAGAAAAAAGGAGAAAGATCAGTCTTGACACTCGAAGACAATCTCTCCTTAACTATATATATGACATTTTAAACAGACTGTCCATGTTTTGTTTTTTTTTAAAGGAGAATATGTATTCTATGTGTTGGAGCTATTTGTTTTAAACCGAGTTCTTTCCCTCCTTTTCCAGGAAGTTGACGGTGGTGCTCCGCGGGGAGAACTGTGCAGCGCACAGGGCATTTAAGTGCTGAGCTGCCCCGTGGCCGCCGGGGGATGCTGGACGACTCCGGGGCGGTGGGCTGGGGAGCGAGAGCCGTCTCCCCAGGTAAAGGCCGCGGGAGCCGGGGTGCGTGCAGGGTGGAGAGAGGGAGGGAGGGAGGAGTCTTGCGTGACTCACGGGTTTCTGGCTTAGGCAACAGGGTTGCTGGCGATGCCTTTCAGATAAGGACTTCGGGATGAGTTTTCGGGAGGAGATCAAACTGCGAAGGGAACACGGCAGACTCCGGTGTAGCTGTCCCGCGGGAAGTGGCCGCACGGGCGGGTCTCCACGGGACCCCGCCGCCTGTCGGGGGCCTCGTCGGAGTTCCCAAGCGGTGGCCCGGGCCCTGAGCTCCGACGCCAGGGGCCTTCCGGGCCCTGCGCAGGCCGGCCGTGCCCAAGCCTAGGGCGGGGCAGCGCTCACCGCCTCCCCTGATAGACGAGGGTGTCGGCCCCGGGGACCCCGTCGCCGTGCACTGGGGCTCAGGAGTCTTGCGTTCCCCTCACTTCACTTTCGGGGTGGGGCTCGAACCCTGGTCCTGCCACTTCCTGCCTCGGTTTCCCCATATGCACGAGGTCGCAGGCGGACCCGAGGGCGGTCTGTAACCTGCAGAGGCCACGACACGTCGCTGGCACCTGGCGAGGCAAAGGGACCGGGCCTGGTTCGGGTCGCCCCGG